AATATTAACAGTTTGTTTGTTTTGCGAGATGCCACAGACATCATTTTTCTCATGCTAATCTGAACAGCAGGAGCATGAATTCAAGTAAATAGTGTCAATTATGATTTCACACTGAAACATATATAAAAAAAGAAAAAACAGATATAAAAAAAGCAAAAGCTAATAAAAATGACAAAGCATTTAAACTAAAAAAAAAAGCTATTTCAAAATATTAATTAAATTATAACTGTATCTGCTAAACTGGTTAAAAAGGCCTATACCAAAACATGTTCAAAAATAAAATAAAAAAATATATAAAATAATCTTATTAATCTTTTATATGAATATTCATCTATTCTTCATTATTTAGTTTCTAGCCTCTAAAACTCAACATATGCAGGTACTTCCAGCCTAAAAACATTTTAAAATCCATCTGAAGTAATGTATATTCAACACTGGCTGAATGTAATGTCTTCTAAAATGATCCCAAGCGAATGCAGCGACAGCTTTGAAGTGCAATGTCCTTACGGCACAGTAAATCTCAACTAAACAAGAGGAACGAGCGGCCATCATCGGCTCGGCAAAGACAACAGCGAGCACCACACGCATTTCTGACAAACAGAGTCGAGCCATTATCAGAGTGAGGCCGAGAGACCACTTTAGCACTTAGCAAACCCCTCTAATAAGTGATGGCAGACATCTTTGATTTGCTTGAAATTATGGTGAAAGCAGAGAGAGCGGCAGTTAGACTGCAGTTACTTCACGATGGAAAAGCCCAGATTTACAGGCGCGAGGCCTTCAAACTCCTCTAGACAGACCCAGCTGAGCTCTGAGAGACTTCAGGAAATACAACTTCAACACTGGAAAACTGAGATATGATTAAAACAGCACGTGCTCGCCGCTTCATCCGACGCTGTAATCTTCACTTTTCCATAGTCACATGTAAACAGCAAATCGAACAGATTTTCAACTGTCAATCTCACAGTGCCAGTGTTATTATAGTTAACTATTACAAAATAAATAATCAAAAATGTCTCTAGGTTTCGAAACGCTATGGGAACACCTTCAGCGTGACCACAATCTGAATCACGTGTGTAATCAGTCCAATGGATGGGCGAGACGTCACGGGCGGGGTGACGTAGCGACCAGGAAGCTTAAAAGCACGTGCGGTGGATTCAGAGGCAGCTTCTGGGTAATGAAGCAAGTGCTCGCAGGGATGCCGGAAGTATGGCACTGAGACGCAGCGTCTCGTTCCCTCGGGGAACCAGGATTCCTTATCTGTCGGTCACTATGAGTTATATCGTGACGACATAGGGGGTTTACTTGAGAGCCCCAATCTGCTCTGACTTACAGCGAAAATGCCAATGAATTTTGGCTAGTGGATTTTGCATACCTAAGCCACTCGTTCACGTGCATATGGGTATAAATGTATTCCTGTGGCTCAGTGGTAGAGCATTGCGTTAACAGTGCAAAAGGTTGTGGGTTTGATTCCCAGGGAACACACATACTGGTAAAAAATGTATAACCTGAATGCACTGTAAGTCGCTTTGGATAAAAGTGCCTGCTAAATGCATAAATTATATTATTATTAAATTAAATAGGCAACAGGTGCATCCACTCATCAGATTTTTGCTTCGGAGCCGAGTGGGTGAAGGATTTCTTCTCCACAAAGCCTTTTCGTTCTGACTGGAAGAAAGAAGCTGTTTCTGGTTGGCGTGATGGCACAAACAGCGGTGTCCCTGTTGATTCAGCGATTCCCCTGGGTGCTTCAACTAAAAGAGCAGTTTCTCATCACGGACGGCTCGCGTCTTTTTAAAGATGCCGTTCAAGTGTCCCGGCAGGTCGTTATCACGATGGTATGGGCTGGGACGCTACATGCAACGGGCAGGCAGCCTCGGGGCTCTGGACGGGGCCTCGACTGCTTTCGCACATCAACTGCCTAGAGCTGTTGGCAGTGCATCTTGCCTTACGGCAGTTCCGGCCTCTGCTACAGGTCAAGCACATGTTGGTCCGCACGGACAACACTGCGGCCGTGTCGTACATCAACTGGCAGGGAGGTCTACGTTCACGTCGCATGTCACAGCTCGCCCGTCATCTCCTCCTCAAGTCGCTGCGAGCCGTCCACATTCTGGGGGAGCTCATTCGTGCAGCCGACGCGCTCTCACGATAGCTCACGTTCCCTAGGGAATGGCGACTCCATCCCTAGACAGTCCGGCTGATCAGGAGTCGATTCGGGGAAGCCCAGGTAGACCTGTTTGCTTCCCGTGAGTCCTCCCACTGCCAGCTGTATTACTCCCTGACCAAGGCCCCCCTCGGCACGGACACGCTGGCTCCTGGCCTCGGGCTCTATGCAAGTATGCGTTTCCCCCAGTGAGCCTTCTCGCACAGACACTGTGCAAGGTCAGGGAGGACGAGGAACCAGTCTTGCTGGTTACACATCTGCACATCAGTGAAAACCGGGATTCATCCGTGAAGAGAACACCTCTCCAAAGTGCCAGACGCCATCGAATGTGAGCATTTGCCCACTCAAGTCAATAATATAAAACTAATAAATAAATATTAATAAAAACTATATAACTAAATAAACTAAAACTAATATATAATTACAGTATATATACAGTATATATTAATGCTGTCAAACGATTAATCGCATCCAAAATAAACGTTTTTGTTTACATAATATATGAGTGTGTACTGACACACACATTCATGTATATATTTAAGAAAAATATGTTATGTTTATATATTAAATATATTTATATATAATATAAAATATATAATATAAATATATATACATGTAAATATTTCAAATATATATACTGTATGTGTGTGTATTTATATATACATAATAAATATACACAGTACACACACATATACACACATATATTATGTATACAAAAACTTTTATTTTGGATGAGATTAATCGCGATTAATCGTTTGACAGCACTAGTATATATATATATATATATATATATAGTATATAATAATAGTATCTCAGTGATGTAATATAACACTGATGCATACAGACATGCAGCATGTGAGATTTACAGACTGAGACTACATTTGTACTTTTATCTCAGTATATATTTGTTTAAAAGATATCCTTAATATTTCAACTGTTTCTCCTCTTACAAAGCAACGAGAATCAATGCAGAACAAATAAGGATTTGCTCAAAAAGTCCAGAGTTTCAGAAGAAATCTCAATATGAAGTCAAACGATCTGAGCTGCACTTTATTTTATAGCTCTTAACCCTTTCCAGATGATAACTAGTGACTCGTAATGAATTTTAGGAGAAAGTCTGAGACAAAGTTGATCCTCAAGTGAAAACTCCATAAAGTCTCCCAAGCTATGGAAAAAGTCAATTCTGGAAAGTAAATAACACACAATCTAGTGTCTGTTACATCAAATCTTCCTAATTCTGTCTGTGAAGGACGTGTGTGAACACTACTCAACAGCAATGATGTGAATGCGCAGGAAACACAGATTATTCCAGAAAGCGCATTATGCCATTTTGTTTGATCACAGTTGTAACTCCAGCAGCGTTCATGAGGACAGAGAGACTGACGCTGAGATCACAGATGGCATTCTGGGAATCTGTGCCATACGGGCCGCTCACGACTGACTGCGTCTCTCACCCACACCTGAAGACTTTCCTACAGCCACAAACCTGCTGAAGAAACCATCTGAATTCACCAGCATCCTGAATCATTAGTGTGTGTGTGTGT